GATGGATGGATGGATGGATGGATTATTAAAATAGCTGAAAGTTTGCTGTAGCAGTTACAGTCATGAATCATACTGAAGAAACTCTGATCATGAAAATAATAATATGCTGACTCAGCTTTCACCCTAACGTGATGATAAAATGTCTCCTTGTGCTGAAATGTGCTTTTTGGACATTTGTTATGATGCATAACCATGACAACAAGGTGTTTTTGTTATTATTATCATTTTTAATTAATTAATTTATTTATTTATTTTTTTGCAACCTGGAGCAGATGATTAACATCTCAAAAGCTCAAATAATACCTCAACTACAGCTCCAAATCCCAAATTAGTTGAAAAGGAGGTGCCGTAGATGCATCTCCATCTACAAAGTACCTGGCAGAGGTGCTCGATCACCAAGATCCTGAAGCTGGCGAGAAACATGGCTCGTGACAGTGGGGGGACTGGGATCGTCCTCCAACACCTGCAGATGGCTGTCCATAGTTATAAGGAGCTCAACAAGCTGCTGGGAGGAGTGACCATCACTCAGGGAGGAGTTCTGCCCAACATTCAGATGTTCTTCCTGCCCAAGAACACCGAGAAGCCCACCAAGTCCAAAAAAATGGATCAACATCTGCAGACAGTTTCTTCAGATCTGCTGTAAGACAGACCACTACAAGAGATCCTTCCTGCCCACAGCCATCAGCATCTATAACAACTCTTTAACGAAACCAGGATGATGAGTTACAACAACATTTAATTTATCTTTGGGATTAATAAAATATTTTTGAATTGAACTGAATTTGAAATTGTACCTTCATTTCCGTAATTTATAAAAGTTCAAGATAATCTCAGAGTCAACCCAGAAGTGGTTTCATGTCTAATCAAATTAATACATTGATAAATAAATTAATTGACATAGTGGCCATTATATCTGGAGATCAAATCTCTGGTGTCTGCACAGGTTGAATGGTTCCTGTGGGCACTGCTCCTGAAAAATCTCCTAATGGTCAGAATGAGCACCCTGGAATTACACTGGGGTTAGGGTTTCAACCAGTGACAACTCCACTGCCTGTTCTTATGCCAACTCGACTGCTCCTGCATTTCTACAGCTCTTTAAGCTTTGCTGCAAGTTGATGCCAGGGCTAAAGGTCAGAGGTCGGCATATATATATGTGCTGAGAGGGACCTCATATCAGAAGTGTTAACTCCATGTATCTGTGGCATATCCTCTTGGACGTGAACTGTGAGCACGTCAGGGACTGCTGCGCTGCTAGAAGTTAGAGTCAAGTTACAATAGAGACTGTGTGTGTGTGGGGGGGGGGTGTGTGTGTGTTGCTTTCAGTAGCCAGAAGGTCCAGAGGTAGGTAGGTAGGGAGGTATGTAGGTATGTCTGTCTGTCTGTTTGTAGATAAGTCTGTCTGTCTGGTTGGCTTTCTGTCTGTAGGTAGGTCTGTCTGTCTGTAGGTAGATCTGTCTGTAGGTAGATCTGTATGTAGGTAGATTTGTCTGTAGGTAGGTCTGTCTGTCTGTTTTTAGGTAAGTCTGTCTGTCTGGCTTTCTGTCTGTAGGTAGGCCTGTCTGTCTGTAGGTAGGTATGTCTGTAGGTAGATCTGTCTGTAGGTAGGTATGTCTGTAGGTAGATCTGTCTGTGGGTAGGTCTGTCTGTAGGTAGGTCTGTCTGTCTGGCTTTCTGTCTGTAGGTAGGCCTGTCAGTCTGTAGGTATGTAGATCTGTAGGTAGGTATGTCTGTAGGTAGATCTGTTGTAGGTAGGTATGTCTGTGGGTAGGTCTGTCTGTAGGTAGATCTGTCTGTAGGTAGGTCTGTCTGTCTGTAGGTAGGTCTGTAGGTAGATTTGTCTGTAGGTAGATTT